ACGCCCTACCCGCTGTGCTATTGCTCCAGCCCCTATATTGGAGATTTTTTTTTTTAATTAGTGAAACACCATGAGGTACAGTTGTAGACTTACAAACTTTTGTGCTTGGATTTCAGTTATACAATGATCGAGTACCCAACCCACCACCAGTGCCCATTCTCTACCACCAATGATCCGAGTAGTCCTCCCACCCCCCCCAACCCCATTCCCCCCACCCCACTCCGCCTCTGTGGCAGAGTATTCCCTTTTGCTCATTCTTTCCTTCAGGGTGTTGTAGTTTGCAATAGAGGTATTGAGTGGCCATAGTGTTCAGTCTATAGTCTACTTTCAGCACACATCTCGCATCCCGAGTGAGTCCTTATTGGAGGCTCTTTTGAGAAGGCAAAATCACTTATCACTTAACTTCCCATTAGTCATCGATTTACTCGAGCGGGCACCAGTAACGTCTCCATTTGTCCCTGTCATGTGCTAGTGTAGCCCAATGGCATCTGTTCGCTCTGGGAACATGAAGAGCCTCAAACCGATCGTTCATGATCTTGATGAAGAAGTATGACCATCTGGTAGGTGGGCGGCCACACGGTCTTTTGACATCCCGTGGAATCCAGTCGGTAACAGCTCTAGTCCAGCGGTCGTCTTTAAATCTCATTACGTGACCAGCCCATCTGATTTTTGACACCTTGGCAAATGAGACAGCGTCCCTGATTCTTGATCGTCCACGGATGTCGGAACTCTGGATTCTTTCTCTCATTTGAGTGAAATGTGATATTCCAAGCATAGCTCGTTCTATTCTTCTTTGGGAGACCTGAATAGCATTCTCATCCTGTTTGCGTAGGGCCCAGGTCTCTGAGGCATATGTTAATTAACAGCATTACGAAAGTGTTTTTTATTAATTTTTTTACTAATTTATTTCAGTCTTCAGGCCATACCTGGCTGTGCTCAGGGCTTACTCCTGGCTATATGCTACTGCATCCTGGTGTTGCTTGGCGGAACGATATGGAGTCTCAGGGATTGAACCTGGGTTGGCCACATGCAAGGCAACTGTCTTGCTTGCTATATTATCACCCTGTCTCCAAAAGAGTTCGTATCGAAAGAAATGTAGATAGATGTGAGGAGAGAAAAAGGGAGCAAGAGATGTATTCGAGAAAGATCACGCACTTCTCCATAGTGGAAAAGGCAGAGAATGGTTTTTGGGAGAAAGTTATATATAATTTCTCCAAGTTTTTAGGCCTGGAGTTCTCTGCATACATAAAAGTTAATCTGGGAATTATCACTGTGCAGGTTTGGTGGTGCTGGAGGACCACCAGGGCTATCCTCAGCCATGCTGTAGGGAATCATGCACTGCCAGGGATCAAACTCAGTACCTAACTGTAGGCATGGCCCATCTTCATCTTTTCCCCTCACCACAGGTGGGATGAGTCAATGTCTGGGTTTGTGTAAATAGAAAGGGCTCACCTGGATAATCCAGGCTACTTTCCCTCCTCTCAGAACCCAATTACCTCTGCTCAGTTCCTTTTACCTTGTGATATAACATTCAGTGCCCCTGGAATTAGAGTGTGGACATTGCTGGGGACCTTAGTCCTGGTTAGCACACCTGTATGTATATTCTGGGCAGGAATAAGCATAGACATGGGAGCATGTTTGGAGACGGGGGTATTCCCTCCACCTTGGCTTCTGCTGTCACAGAGAGCCTCTCTTTCTGCTCAGTTTCTTTTTCTTTCTTGGGTGGAGTGAGGAAAGTGGAGGGGCCATAAGCAAATCTATGCAAAATCACCCAGAGAGCCACAAACTCTGGCATCCAACTACCCTAATTCAGAGCCAGGCCCAGAGAGCCATTAACTGTTTGCTTGAAGAAACCAGGTGGAGATTCAGTTTCTTCAGCAAGCCCACCCAGAGGGACTTTTCTGCAAGTCCTCCGTGATCTCCTGCTGGAGTGTCTTTCCCTTTTACACCCTATTGCAGGCTCAGGGTACTCTCCCCCTGGGAAGGTTTCTCTTTCTTCTTTCTGTCTGTATCTTTAAAGCATTCTCCAAGCCTCACTGAAGCCTTTCCTGCTCCAGGAAACTTTTCTCCATGTCTCTTCTTTTTTTCTTTTTTAACTTTTCTTTGAGGGTCACACCCAGCAATGCCTAAGGGTTACTCCTGGCTCTGCACTCAGGTGTTACTCCTGGCAGTGCATAGGTGGACCATAGGGGATGCCAGGGATCGAACCCAGGTCTACTGCATGCAAGGCAATTGCCCTACTCACTGTGCTGTCACTTTGACCCCCTTCTTCTCTTCTGAGGGCATTTATCATTCTTAAGGGTTGGGCTCTGGGTCACGGTCCGGTTTCTCTCCCAGGGCCTGTCACACACCCTTCCGTCTTCTGCACTCTCGCTTGCACGAGCCTCGCTGTCTACGACGTCCTTCCTGGACTTCTGCAAGCCCTTGTCACCCCAGGAGCCCTTCCCAGCCCTCTTCCCCACAGGTGGATCTTCCCTGTCTTATTCCCACTCACTCAGGGCCCATTTCCCTGTGAACAGAACTTGGTTCTGTTAGACTGAAGGGAAGAAAACAAACTGGACAACACAAAAAATAAAACAAAAAAACAACACCCCCCTCAAAAAAAAACACCCCAAATAATAAAGAATAAAGGAAAATTTAAAAAAAGATTTTTTTTTTTTAAAAGGACAACCACACTGAGTGGCTGCTCAGGACTGGCCATGTGAGGATTAAAGAAATATAGACAAATTTGACCAAAATCTATTCTTCAGGGCCTTTGTGTCTCTCAAAGTAGAAGAGGGACTTCTATTAGTAGTTTCTAAAGTGGGCAACATTGTTGTGCCTTTGGGGGTGGGCACTGGAAGGATCCTTGGGGTTGGGTAAAGTTGGGGTAAGCAGGCCTGGGGCAGTTTTTCCTTGTTCTTTTTTTTGGTTGTTGCTTTTTTTTGGTCACACCAGCGTTGAACAGGGGTTACTCCTGGCTCGTGCACTCAGGAATTACTCCTGATGGTGCTCAGGGGACCATATTAGATGCTGGGAATCGAACCGGGGTCTGCCATGTGCAAGGCAAAAGCCCTACCTGCTGTGCTATCGCTACAGCCCGGTTTTTTCTTTTTTGTTTTGTTTTGGAATCACACCTAACCATGCTCAGGCTTCCCCTTGGCTCTGTGCTCAGGGATCTCTTCTGGCAGTGCTCAGGAAACCATTCTTCTTTATTACCCATATCAGGGCTTCCTCCTGACTCCATGCTCACCCTTGGTGAGATCTGTGAACTATCTGGGGTGCTGAGGATCATTATGCAAGGCCAGCCCCCCCCCCCCCCCCCCCCCCCCCCCCCCCCCCCGTCTGCTATTTCTGTAGCCCCAGAGGACCTTTCTTCATTCCCTTCCACACCCCCTCCAAAAACCCTCCCTCCCACTCTCAAGCTTCCTATTAAGGACCTATTTTCATGCCTTTATTTCTATTGTCTTTGGGCATTACTTATTCCCCTACTTTGTTTCTTTATTTTTGGCTTTTTTGTCTTTGGGTCACACTTGGCAATGCTCAAGGGTTACACCTGGCTGTGCACTCAGGGATCACTCCTGGTGGTACTGGGGTGCGGAATGGGGGGAACATATGGAATGCCAGAATCAAGCCCTGTTGGCCTTGGGTCCTCCTCGTGTAAGGCAAGCGTCCTACCTGCTATATTTTAGCCCAAAGCCAAGGTAGATATTTCTGAGACAGGTTTTTTTTTTTTGGGGTCACACCCAGTGATGCACAGGGGTTACTCCTGGCGGTGCTCAGGGGACCATATGGGATGCTGGGAATCCAACCCGGGTTGGCCGCGTGCAAGGCAAACGCCCTACCCACTTTGCTATTGCTCCAGCCCCACTGAGAGACAAGTTTTATCCTTCAATTAAAAACCTTAGAAATAGAATCAAGGGGCCAGATAGCCCTTAGAAATAGAATCAAGTGGATAGGTCTTGCACACGACCCACCCAGGTTCGATCCCCGCCATCCCATATGGTCCCCTGAGCCAGGGGTAATTCCTGAGCTCAGGGCCAGGACTAACCCCTGGGCACTGCCAGGTAAGTCCAAAAACAAAAACAAAACTTTATTTCAGGGTACCCATAAATTAAAATATGCACCCAATCGGGAAACTGAGAATGAGGGAATATACAGGAGAGGTGTTAAGCCGCCAAGTGATTCTAGTATACAAGCCGTCAAGTGATTCTAGCCGACTAATTTCCCCGAGAACAAACAGTCCTTGTTCTAACGCAGGCTGCAGCCAACTACTTTTCCGTTGAGGTTGGCCAGCAAACGCGGCCTCGGGACCGGGGGGCGGGGCTCAGAGGCGCCGTTGGGGCGGAGTCAGACCGGAGCTACCGATTGGCCGAGACGTTAGGCGGAGTAAACGAAGAATCTCCCACCCTCGACAAAGGGACTGCGCCGTGCAACGTCACATCCGGCCAGGTGGGCGGGAACGGGAAACAAAAGAAGACCAAGGACGCATGCGTCTGCCGTGTCCCGGGCTCTGGTGGGTTCTTCCGCTGGGGCAGAAGGAAGCGCTTCCGGGTCGCTGCCGGCTGCCGCCTACCGGCGCGGTAAGTACAAAAACTAGGCTGTGACTTGTATCTCCTTGCCCCATCTTCCCTTCTTCCCCTAAGAGAAATTTAGTTTTCCCTGACTCTCCTCAGGAGCTCCAGGTGTAGGCGACTTTTAACATTAAAGCGTCCCAGCTCATTGGCCGCGTCCTGAAGTTAAGCCCCACCCCCTCACACAGACTCCTTCACTCATTGGTGTCTCTTGCTGTCACTAACAGTCCCTCCAGTTAATTGGCCTTGTTTGCGCCTCGCTTCTTTCGCGATTGGCATCCCTATAAGGAGAAGTTACTGCGTGAGTCCCGCCCCTGCCTTATTCCTGTTGGTCATCCGCACTGTCAGTCAAAGTCAAAACCCTGAGCAGCGGCTGGACCGCCCGGGGCTGGGCGTTCGGGACTCTGTTTCTCTGGCTCTTCCTTACCTCTGATCTAGAGGGTGGGTGCGCTTTTTCCTGTTACCCGGGCCAGGATGCTGAGGTTCACGGAAGAGCAGGGGCTCGCCCTGGATCTGCCACATAATTAGGGCAAAAGAAAACTAGACGTAGATCCTTTCCTTCATTTCTAATACCCGATCTGGATCTGTTGCCCACGGGAGTCGTAAGCTCCCACTCACAGTATGACCTCGAGTCAGGGTGTGCCCGTTGCCGGCTGTCAGTTTGCCAGTGAACGGAGAGTCTTTGATTCAGATTCTCTGGAACCCTGCGGGTCAGCCCCCTCAGTTGTTCCGCCAGAGCAGAGTTTGCATGCTCTTCCCCCTTCGTTTGTTCATTCCACTCTCTGCCTACTTACGCACTCACGCCTCGAGGATGCATCACCGAACGGTATTCACGGGAAGAAACACTACGGCCCGTTAGCCCCGACCCGTTTGGCTGGGGCTCTGGCGGTCGTTAATGTTGCTGACACTGGGTGGGTGTGGCTCCATTTATAAAGGAGCAAAAAATCGTCTCGGTAGTTTGGAGGAGGTAGAGTTTTCATAGAGCCCTGATATCTCTGATTTTGTCTGATCTTGTAACCCGAGCCTGCACCTGGATTCCTCTTACCTCCGACTTCCATTCTCTTCCTTCATATGGTTTACAAACAGCTTTATGTCTTCGTTAATTACGTAATGGTGGGGGATATAATTATTATCCCCATTCTACAGATGAGAAAACCGGGACTGAGAGCTTAAGTGCCTTGACCAACGTTAAACAGCTAGTAAGTGATAAAGCCAGTATTCAATCCTAGGTCTTTCTGATTGCCACATGGAAAAGTTGTTTTCCTGTGCATCCCGTTTCTCAACCGGACTGACCAAATGACACCTAGACATAATCGGGGAGCTGGATTCACCCAGCCCTCTCCCTCAGTCTAGGAGCCATGTCCACCTTGTTCCCATCACTCTTACCCCGGGTGACTGAGACACTGTGGTTTAATCTGGACCGACCCTGTGTGGAGGAGACTGAGCTACAGCAGCAAGAACAGCAGCATCAGGCCTGGGTGAGTGGGGACGAAGCACAGTATGTGTGTGAGGGGCGGGGGAGGGGGGTTGCCCCAGCCTTACTGTTTGTTTGGGCTTTTTAAAGAATTTCATTGAAGCCCCATGATTACAAAGTTATCCACAGTTGGGTTTTAGACGTACTCTGTTCTAGCACCAATCCCACCAAGAGTGTCTTCTTCCCACCACCAGGGTTCCCAGGTTTCTGCCCACAGATTCCCTATTCCCCCCAACCCCGAGCCGGCCAGACTTTTTTTTTTTTTTTTCGCTTTTTGGGTCACAGCCAGCAATGCTCAGGGGTTACTCCTGGCTTTGCACTCAGGAATTACTCTTGGTGGTGCTTGGGGGACCATATGGGATGCCGGGGATTGAACCCAGGTTGGCTGCATCCAAGGCAAGCGCCCTACCCGCTGTGCTATCGCTCCGGCCCCGTGCTAGACATTTCTAAGTTTGGTTATTGAAGTTTGGGTCTCATTTTGGTTTTTAGGCCTAGCGGTGCTCAGAACTTACTCCTGGTTCTCGGATCAGGGATCACTCCTGATGGAGCTCAGGGGACCATATGGGATGCAGAAACTGAACCTTGGTGGGCACATGCAAAGCGAGTGCTCTACCCACTTTACTATTGCACCAGCCCCCTTACTGTCTTTTCATTTATTTTGGGGGGAATGGCCATGCTAGGCAGTGCTGGAGGGAGGGGGCATACTCCCAACTCTTTGATCAGGGTTCACTCCTTATGGTTCTGGGGCATTGTATGAGGTGTTGGGGATCAAACCAGTGTTGGCTGCATTGCAAAGCAAGAGCCTTAAGCCCTGTAATGTCGCTCTGGCCCCTACTATTTATCTGTTTATTTTAAATTATTTTTTGCTGTGCTGCATTTCAAACCCAGGTCTCTTGTATACAAGGTAGATACTTTACCATTAAGTTACATCCCTAGCCCTTACTCTGGAGACTTAATCTGGAGGAGATATTTTTCCCTTGAGCTGGAAAGAATCAGGTTGAGAGCTGTGGACACCTAGGCTCATAGGTGCTAATATATGGAGCTCTAATTTGCTAGGGACCAGGGGACATCTGGGCCAGATCAGAGCCCAGGCTCATTTCCTTAAGTATAGGAAATACTAATTTTGACTCTATTGGAGGCTTGGCAGATGCCATGTTTTGTATTGAGTCTTACTTAACCTTCACCGAAGTTTTAGGAAGAAACAAAGGCCTAGAGAATGTAAGTAATTTAATCAGAAGTTTTTTTGTCTTGATTTTTGTTCTTGTGCCACACCTCTCTGTGCTCAGGTGTGGTGCAATTGTCACTCTTGACTCTGCTCTCAGGAATCACTCCTGGTGTACTCAGGGGACAATATGTGGTACCTGGGATCGAACATGGATCGACTGTGTTCAAGGCAAGCGCTCTACACACTGTATTATCACTCCAGCCCCATTTAATCAATCGGTTTCTAAGTGTCAGGATGATAGGAGACACAGGAAATGAATTAAGCAGAGAAATGAAAGACAGCTTCTCCACATTGTGAGTCTCCTTGGGAGAGCGTCTTCTCCCAGGTCTGACCTGCCTTATTTGGGTCCTGACCCTGCTCTCCTCCCTTTTCATACAGCTCCAGAGCATTGCAGAGAAAGACAATAACCTGGTACCTATTGGCAAGCCAGCGTCAGAGGTGAGTGGCTTCAGCAGGTGGGCCTGTATGGGGCCTGGAGTGGACCAAAGCTCTGCTCTAATTCTCTAGGTCCTGCTTGGGGAAGGACCTTAGGGAAGATGTAGACCTCAACTCTTATGAGAAGGGGTTCGGGGAGGGGGTGCTGCACCCAGTCACTGAGGTTCTGTAGAACAGGCACCAGATAGCTAAGCTCAGGGGGAGCAGGGTTGGGGAGTTGGGTTCATTCCTTTGCCACAGAGAGAGGCTCCAAGCGGGTTAGCCTGTGAATCAGTCCGGGTAGGCTGAAGAGCCAACAGCTTCTCCCCTCCCTCAGCACTATGATGATGAGGAAGAGGAGGATGAAGACGACGATGAAGACAGTGAAGAGGACTCAGAGGATGACGAGGACATGCAAGACATGGATGAGATGAATGACTATAATGAATCCCCTGATGATGGCGAGGTCAATGAGGTAGGCCAGCATGTTGGGGAGAACCTCTGCGGCCAGGTGCTGACCCCTCTCCTAGCTGCGGCCAAGGGGCAGGATCTGCATTTGGGGCCTGTCGGTGGCTGAGGCCTGGCCCCACCCACACGCAGCCTCATCTCCAGGTGGACATGGAGGGCAACGAGCAGGAACCGGACCAGTGGATGATCTAGGTCGACGAGACACACTGGGTTCCAGCAGATCCCAGGCCCGCCCCGCCCAGCCTGAACCCCCTGCAGAACCAGTGGATCGCTCCAGTGCCTGGAAACTCACCCTCAGGCAGCACCTCAGCTTGTTGCCAGGAACTGATCTCGGCTGCCAGCCAACATTCTGCCCCTGAATCTCCAGGGCCCGAACCCACCCCACTTGTGTGGCCAGTACCTCCCTGCTCATTTGGGCCTAGTTTCTTTGTAACTCTTTAATAAAGAAACAGGACTGATTTCTGCCCCCATGTCTATTCCCCGTCTGTTGGTGGGACCTCAGGAATCCAGCATCTGTACAGCTTTGGGAAGAGGACAGCCAAGGAAATTGTGGCCCACCTGCTGTGGGGCCCAGGCTCCTTAGCAGTTCCCTCTGGAGCAGCTGGTCCCTTGCCATTCCTGCAGGAACCCCACCCAGAGCACCCCGGGCTGGGAGGACAGGCTCTCCAAGGGTCACGCAGCCAGTGTCCTCAGTGTTCAGAGCGGGGACCAGGTCTTGGAGCAGGACAGGACCCCTTTAGGAGTTTCCAGAAAAACTCAGGACAGAGCTGGGTTGGGAGTGGAGGCCTCTTGCCTGTCCAGTGCTTCCTGGAAGGAAGAGGGGTTCCATGGGGCCCGGCAGCCTGATGGAACTCTCTGCCTCGGGTCCATGTGCAGCTTTGGTGGGACAGAATCGCCCCATCGCTGAGCCCAGCAGGTGTCAGACCACGAACAGAGAGGGATGGGGAGACTCTGGTCCTTGCCTGGGCAGGGGTGGAGGGGGTGTAAGCACCCCTGGGTCTGGACCTCAGCCAGGCCCTGCATAGGTGAGCTGGGCTATGCCGTCCTTGATAGCGGGGAAGTCTGGGAGGCCAGTGTGGTGGAGGCGGCACCGGTAGCGGCCACAGCTCTTGGCGTACTGCAAGAAGCGGGGTGCACCAGGGAAGAGCACGTGGTCCGCCAATACTGTGGCACCAGCTGGCAGCAGGGCATGGGCCTCGAGCAGCTGCAGGTCCCGCAGATAACGGCGGGGCCGGTGTGCCAGGAGCACCACGTCGGCCCGACTCAGCTGGTGCTGGCTTCGCAGGCGCGGGATCACCTCTTCTGAGCTACCCACAATGAGCTCCACCTGTGGGAATGGGCAGGCCTGCGGTGAAGAGAGAGGGACTGTTCTCCCCCAGACCCTACCTGACTCTGGTGTACTTTATGCCAGGGCCTGGCCCAGGTCTCCGTGCAGTCCCCATGTTTTCCCTGGCCTCAGAACCAGGAAGTTAGGGTCCTTATCATCCAGTGAAGAGGCTAAGATTTTCACAGTCACACAGATCGCAGGAGATGGACTATGAAACCTTTGTCTTCTGAGTTGGGGATTTGGAGACTCTCACCAGGGGGTATTGGAGTATTAGGGCTTACTCTTGTCTCTGAGTTCAGGGATTGCTCCTAGGGGGACCTGGACGACCATATATAACTTTTGGGTATTAGACTAGGGTAAATTGATTATAAGCCAAATGCCTTAATTCCTGTACCCTGTACTAGCTCTGCAACTCCATTCCTTTTTTTTTTTTTTTTGCTTTTTGGGTCACACCCAGCAATGCTCAGGGGTTACTCCTGGCTCTGTGCTCAGGAATTACTCCGGGCAGTGCTTGGGTACCATTTGGGATGCTGGGGATTGAACCCGGGTCGGTCGCGTGCAAGGCAAACACCCTACCCGCTGTACTATTGCTTTGCCCATCCATTCCTCTCTTTTGAGGGGTGCTGGTCTGCACCCAGCTGAGCTCAGGGTTTACCCAGGCTCTTTGTTCATGGGTCACTCCTATGAGCCTTTTCTCAGGGGACCATATTTGGTGCCGGGCTTGAGCCAGGGTAAGCCATATGCAGGCACCTTAGCACTTGTGCTGGCCAGGCCTGAGACCTTCCTCAGAATGGCTTAATTACCCAGCCAACAATAGGTGCAAATGAGCTGGCACAGGACAGGAGCCCAGACACCCTCCATAATCACAATCCCCTGAACAAGCTGCTTTCTCTACAGCCCCCTGGGGGTGAGGGCAAGGCCTGGGGTGGCAGGGAAGAGACAGGGCCGGCAGGCCAGGGAGGAGGGGACTGACCATGCGTTCGTCGAAGCCAGCCAGGCGAATGAGTTTCTCAGCTACTGCTGCGGTACGCGGGTCCTGCTCCATGGTGAGGAGGCGCCCCCCGGGGGGCAGAGCACGGGCAATAAGTAGCGTGGAGTACCCGCAGTAGGTGCCCAGCTCCAGCACACAGTTGGGAGCCTTTTCCTCCACCAGCCGCATCAGGATCTGCCCTGTGGGAGGAGATGGGCCCCGGGCTCCTGAGAGAAGCGATGGCAAATGCCCACCTGCCTCTCTGCAGCCCCACTGAAAAAGAAGAAACAACTGCCAAAGTTCCGAGACTTTTGCGAGAACTTCTGTTTCATTTCCTCTTCTGTTCATGGACTCTTTTTCTGACTTGAACTGGAGGAATCGCTCTCCCCACCCTCTCCTGCTCTTCGTGTGATGATAGAATCTCACCCACCATTGGCTATGGTGCTGGCTGATGGTCACACTCATTTGTTGCAATGGACTAACACATGATGGCTGGGGATCACACTCTGGGCTGTGATGCTCACGTACCTTTTTGCTATTTGTTTTGGGAGCACACTCAGCAGTACTCAGGGGCTACTCCTGGATCTGTGCACAAGGATTATTCCTGGTGGTGCTCAGGACCAACTAGTGTCAGGAATTGAACCCTGACATCCCTCATTTAAAACAGTCAGCCCTTGGAACCATCTCTTCAGCCCCTCACATATCTTTGGTACCCACCAGGAGTTGCAACCATTATATGTATTTTTTGTTGTTTTTGTTTGATTTTTGGGACACCTGGCTATGCTCAGGGATTATTTCTAGCAAGGCATGGGGGGGCTCTACGGGATGGAACCCAGGCTGGCTGTGTAAAAGGAAAGAAAGCCTCATATTTGCTGTACTATTGCTTCGACCCTGCACCCATTATTTTTGTTTTGTTTTTCAGGCCACACCCAGCAGGACTCAGGGCTTAACTCCTGGTTCTGCACTCAGGGATCACTCCTCACAGGACTCAAGGGGACACTGTTGGGTGCTGGGAACTGAACCTGGGTCGGTTGGGTGCAAGGCAAATGCCCCACCACTGTACTATCTCACTGGCCCTCTATACCCATTACTTTTGGTGCTTGCAACACCTGTCTATAAGTCACTTGTATCAGGGAATCACAAATAGCCAGGGTCTGATTAACTGTGGTCTCCCTCAGCACATGTGATGCAAGCTCATGGGCTCACATTTGTAAGGAAAGAGTTTTAGTCACTAAGCTGTCCCCTGGGCAAATTTCTTTCCTTTTATTTTTTCTTTCTTTTTTTTCTTTTTGTTTTTTGGGTCATACCTGGCAGTACTCAGGGCTTACTCCTGGCTCTGTGCTCAGGGATCATTCCTGGTGGTGCTAGAAGGATCATATTGGGTGCCAGAGATTGAACCTGGGTCAACCATGTGTAAGGGAAATGCCCTATGCTACTATAGTATATCTCCGGCCCTTCTTTCCATTTTTCATTTAAAATTTTAAATTTATTATTATTTTTTTTATGATACTGAAGATCAAACCCAGGGCCTTACACATGCAAGTAAAATAAATGCTCTACTGAGGCTGGAGAGATAGTACCGCGAGTAGGGTGTTTTCCTTGCATGCACCTGACCTGGGTTCAATCCCAAGCACCACTTTTGGTCCCCTGCACCTACCAGGAGTGATTCCTGAACACAGAGAATTCAGACCTGAGAGGGACAGCTGCCTGGACGAATGTCTTTTTTGGTTTGTTTTCAGGTCATACCCACAGTGCTTGGACTATTCCCAGTAGTGCTCAGTAGATCATGTGGTGCTGGGGATTGAACCTAGGGCTCCTGCATGCAAAGCATGAGCTCAGCCATCTTTCCAGACCTAGACACATATCTTAAAACCAGAAACAGAAAGCACTTGTAATGGGAACTAGACTCAAGACAATCCAGACACAACTATCCTGAATGGGAAGTTGGGACCTGTGGACAAGGATCATTAACATCACAGGATATGTACTGGGATGCTCATTACTTGGGGACTTCTGGGGGTGGGGAGGTTAGGGTTTGTGGCCACACCTGGTCATGCTTGGGAGTAGGGGTGTCACTTCCGATGGTGCTCAGGGGACATGTGGTGTCAGCAGTTAAACCTGGGCCACACATGCAAAGCCTGTGCCCCAGTCCTTTAAGCTTTAAGCTCTCTCTCTCTCTCTCCCTCTCTCTCTCTCTGTTTCTCTCTCTGTCTGTTTCTCTCTCTCTCTCTCTCTCTCTGCCACTGCCTTGGGCTTTATGCTCCCCCTGAGACCAGAATTTGTGGATGAGTTATCTCTGTGGCTTCTTCCCCTATCACCTGGCCTATGCCTGGTATCAAAAAGGCAACATGCAGGGTCACAGAAATAGTACAAGGGTTAAAGTGCTTGCCTTGCATCCCACTGACTCCAACACCACAGAGGGTCTCCTGGGTATCACCAGGTAAGATTGCTGAGCACAGAGTCCCCACTCCCCTCCCCGCCCCCCACACATCCCAATAAATATTTGCTGGATGAATGAATAAATTTTCCCAGTCCCCTCATTTTAGCAGGAGGAAAAACCCAGAGAAGATAAGGATGCACAATCTATCCAGGGAGGCTGCAGTTGACCTTGGCTGCTCCTTCCCCACCTTGATTCTTCCTAAGTGGAAGGCTGTGGAACACTCACCTTTGACAGGCCCCATGTGGCTCAGGTACTCGCAGTGGCTGCTCCAGTGGTCCAGCGTGGTTAGGATGTGAGCGGGGTCCCCAGGCAGTGCGTGGGTGAGCACATAGCTGAAGGCGCGCTCCTCGATCCGCAGGCCTGACTGGCAGTCTCGGAGGCTCCTGAGCAAGACTGTGCGTACCAGAAGCCGGAAGTAGTGCCGGTACCGCACCAGCAAGGTCACCAGCAGTGGCAAGAAGGCCAGCGCGATGGCAGGAGACATGGCTCCGTCCTGAGGAAGGGAGGAGGGAAGGACACCCATCCCTGCTATTTATCTTGATCTGTGCTACTCTGAACGAAAGCAGCTATTATCCCTACAGCTCATAAACCATGGCTCTTTGGGTTAGAGATAGAACAGGGGTTAAGACACTCACCATGCATGCAATAACTCTAGTTTGATCCCCAGCACCACATAGGGTCCCCCAATCCCTGCCAAGGGTCATTCCTAAGCTCAGATCCAGGAACAG